TTACACTTGTTATACTAACTTATTTAATATATTTATTTTGCATTAATAATTATAAATAATTAATTTTGTTATTAAATAAATGATAATATTATTTTATTATATATTAAAATTGGTAAAAAAAAATTACAAAATTGTTGGAATGAAAAGACAAATTAAAATTATAGAAACGAAATTGAGATGTAAGCCGTGAAAAATTGTCAATTTAAATTTGTTGACTTGAACTCCCATGATGGTAAAAACTTTTTTTTTTAAGTGACTTACATTCCTACACAAAGAACATCTTTTTGATTGTCTTGGTTCTACCATATCCATTTCAGTGCGTATTTGTGATGACTTCGGACGACCTTTTTTATTTCGAATCTTTTCTGGATTTGGTATGATTTGTGGTTTGTGGCAATTTGACCAATAAGATTCATCGGGCAATTCACCAAATAATTCGTTATACATATTTGAAACATATTCTAATGTGTATACCTGATCTATGTAAGATTTGTAATTATGGTGAACATGCTTACATGTAATAACAACATAAGAGCATGACATGTGTAACTTCTAGAATTTTCCACAGTCACACCACATCTCATGTAGTATAACTGTGAAATTTTCAGTCGGTCGTCCTTCCCTTAGGTTAATGGTCTCTTACACCAAAAAATTTGTATTGTAACTATCAAATTTGAGGACATAATGACTATTAGCCTTGGATTATGCATTTCTCGTGGTCCTATTTATTATTTTAGTATAAACTTGACTAGCTTTGAGTTTAGCATCGACTTCCTTCCCTCTCTGATGAATAAAGAATTACATCTCTTATAAGTCGAGATGATCATTGCAAATATTGACAAATTTCTTGTTTTCCTAAGAATTGAATTTATTGTCTCTGTCAAGTTGGTAGTCATGTGTTCCAATCGTCGGCCATAGTCCCATGCAAGAGTCCATTGTTCTTTAGGAATAGTGTTGAGTCAATCAATTACACCTTCAATTTCTAGTTGTCTTCTCAATATGTTATAGTAGTAATTGAACCTGGACTCAGTCATCTCATAAGCTGTGAATTTAGACGAGCAAAAAATCAACAATATATTATTGTGGAAATATAGTAAAACAAATAAGAATAAAAATTTAATTGATGATAAAAAAGGAATAAAAAAAGAACTACATACCCATGTTGATGATTAATTTTTTTCTTTCTGCATTCTTGAAATGTCTCATGAAGTTTTGGGTAATATGGCGAATGCAAAACACATGCACTGAATTATTCGGTGTCCAACCACTACCATGTCTAGCGTAGACATTTTTTATGGACTTGTGCCTGTTAGAGATTAAGCAAAGGTCATCTTGAGGCAAACATGTCTTTTGAGGTAATGAAGAAAGAAATACCATGCATCTATTGTTTCACCCTCAACAATGGCAAAGGAAATTGGAAATATTTTGTTGTTACCATCTTATGCCATGACCATAAGGAGAGTTCCTTTGCATTTTCCATACAAGAATGTTCCATCAACTTGAACAATGGGCTTGCAATATTTGAACCCATCGATACAAGGTTTAAATGTCCAAAATACTCAATGGAATTGAACATAATCATGAACCATTTCACCTTGTTGGTTGTATAGTGGTCTTGTCTACTTATCAACAACAAATCCATTAAGAATAATTTTCATGGCATTTAGCAACTTGGGTAAATCATGATATAATTGTTCCTAATTTCCATGTAAGTCTTTTTGCCTTTTGCTTTGACATCCATGCTTTCTGATACGAGATTATGTAGCCTTTCGCACTTTTGATATGCACTATTATTATTGGAATTGAAATTGATGGATCACTCTCCACCAATGGAAGAATAATTTTGCTTATATATACATAGCCAAGGTTGACATGATCTTATGAGATCATTGGGGATGAACAAGAATTTTCATCTATTAGCCTACGAACCTCCCATTTTTGGCTTCTATTTATGAAAGCCACTTTGCACCTCCAACCACATTCATCGTTAACACATCATGCAATAATTAATGTTGGAGACGATTTCTCCATCCTGTAATATAGACCTTTCTTGACATGGTATGTGTTTAAAACATGTTTGACTTCCTCTTTCATGTCGAAAATCATGCCCTGGAAGAGGGTGTCAAGAGCGTATTGTTATCTCCCTTGGCAAATGTACCAAATCGTATAAGTAGTTCAATGAAAGTATGAGTATCGTCTCCCAAGGTACTTGCACAGCACTTTGCAATTACACTTGTTATACTAACTAAGCTACCGGAAAGCAATAAGAGTTTGATTTGCTACAGTAAATAATGTAAACAAGCAATAACAATTCTTTTTGGTTATTTTGGTAAACACTTAGAGTGCAAAACTTGATTTTAATGCAATGTTAATAATTTGTTGGGGTTTTACTTCACTAATCCTTCCTATCATGTTTATCACTAAGTTCACAATAGTTATCATTAGAATTTATCAATCACTCTCAAGTAACTAACCCTAATCTCTTACAAGTTGGCATCTAAGTTGCTAACTTAAATTATCAATCTCTTGCATAGTTTAACCAAGAAACCAGTTTTAAAACCCAGAGCTTAAGAAAGACCAATGGCATTTACTCTATCTCTAGCAATAAGCACCATTAGCTGCTCTATTTCAAGT